CAATTATTTAATAAATGTATGGATGAGGGTAAGGTACCTAGGGATTGGCAGAGAGCATGCATAGTTCCTTTGTATAAAGGCAAAGGGGACAAAAGAGAGTGCAAATATTATAGGGGGATAAGTCTGTTGAGTATACCTGGTAAAGTGTATGGTAGAGTTATTATTGAAAGAATTAAGAGTAAGATGGAGAATAGGATAGCAGATGAACAAGGAGGCTTTAGGAAAGGTAGGGGGTGTGTGGACCAGGTGTTTACAGTGAAACATATAAGTGAACAGTATTTAGATAAGGCTAAAGAGGTCTTTGTGGCATTTATGGATTTGGAAAAGGCATATGACAGGGTGGATAGGGAGGCAGTGTGGCATATGTTGCAGGTGTATGGTGTAGGAGGTAGGTTACTGAAAGCAGTGAAGAGTTTTTACGAGGATAGTGAGGCTCAAGTTAGAGTATGTAGGAAAGAGGGAAATTATTTCCCAGTAAAAGTAGGCCTTAGACAAGGATGTGTGATGTCACCATGGTTGTTTAATATATTTATAGATGGGGTTGTAAGAGAAGTATATGCGAGGGTCTTGGCAAGAGGCGTGGAGTTAAAAGATAAAGAATCACACATAAAGTGGGAGTTGTCACAGTTACTCTTTGCTGATGACACTGTGCTCTTGGGAGATTCTGAAGAGAAGTTGCAGAGGTTGGTGGATGAATTTGGTAGGGTGTGCAAAAGAAGAAAATTAAAAGTGAATACAGGAAAGAGTAAGGTAATGAGGATAACAAAAAGATTAGGTGATGAAAGATTGGATATCAGATTGGAGGGAGAGAGTATGGAGGAGGTGAATGTATTCGGATATTTGGGAGTGGACGTGTCAACGGATGGGTCTGTGAAAGATGAGGTGAATCATAGAATTGATGAGGGGAAAAGGGTGATTGGTGCACTTAGGAGTCTGTGGAGACAAAGAACTTTGTCCTTGGAGGCAAAGAGGGGAATGTATGAGAGTATAGTTTTACCAATGCTCTTATATGGGTGTGAAGCATGGGTGATGAATGTTGCAGCAAGGAGAAGTCTGGAGGCAGTGGAGATGTCATGTCTGAGGGCAATGTGTGGTGTGAATGTAATGCAGAGAATTCGTAGTTTGGAAGTTAGGAGGAGGTGCGGGATTACCAAAACTGTTGTCCAGAGGGCTGAGGAAGGGTTGTTGAGGTGGTTCGGACATGTAGAGAGAATGGAGCGAAACAGAGTGACTTCAAGAGTGTATCAGTCTGTAGTGGAAGGAAGGCGGGGTAGGGGTCGGCCTAGGAAAGGTTGGAGGGAGGGGGTAAAGGAGGTTTGTGTGCGAGGGGCTTGGACTTCCAGCAGGCATGCGTGAGCGTGTTTGATAGGAGTGAATGGAGACAAATGGTTTTTAATACTTGACGTGCTGTTGGAGTGTGAGCAAAGTAACATTTATGAAGGGATTCAGGGAAACCGGCAGGCCGGACTTGAGTCCTGGAGATGGGAAGTACAGTGCCTGCACTCTGAAGGAGGGGTGTTAATGTTGCAGTTTAAAAACTGTAGTGTAAAGCACCCTTCTGCAAGACAGTGATGGAGTGAATGATGGTGAAAGTTTTTCTTTTTCGGGCCACCCTGCCTTGGTGGGAATTGGCCAGTGTGATAATAAAAATAAAATAATTCTATTCACTTATGTGCAAGTCCCACTCGAATCAAATCGTGTGTGGTAAAGTACCCTGGCTGGTGTGTGGGAAGGTACCCTGGCTGGTGTGTGGGTAAGTACCCTGGCTGGTGTGTGGGGAAGTACCCTGGCTGGTGTGTGGGGAAGTACCCTGGCTGGTGTGTGGGGAAGTACCCTGGCTGGTTTGTGGGGGAAGTACCTTGGCTGGTGTGTGGGGATGTACCCGGGCTGGTGTGTGGGGAAGTACCCTGGCTGGTGTGTGGGGGAAGTACCCTGGCTGGTGTGTGGGGAAGTACTGTGGCTAGTATGTGGGGAAGTACCCTGGCTGGTGTACCACCATCACTACCACCCTCTACCACCACCACTTTCGTATCTTCCTACAAACTTTTTCTTTAATTCTATAGTGTTTCTCACCCTCTTTGCCAAAGGGCTGGCACTAGAAACTTTCTTTGGGCCCATGGTGGCTTATTTAGCAGTTACAAGCACTAAAAACAATGGAATAATACAAAATATATCGCATGTACACATGGAATCATCCTCACTGGGTAGTAAACAATGGCACACTGGCTGTACATGGAGTGTTTGGGCGGCTTACAGCACGCGGACACATTCAGGATGAATGACTTTAACAGGGTTCTTTGTCATTAACCGAGCCAATATTTTGATGCAAAAACGTTACTTAATCCAATTATTACTTAATCCGATGACGTCTTAATCCAAGGGTCCACTGCAGTTGAAAAGCCATTAATGCGTTCCTGCACTCTGGAGACAAGACAAAATATGAATATGACACTAATATCAACTATACGGCTTATTTATCTATCACAATTCATCTAATATGACATGATAAACAATATACAGTGGATCCTCACCTAACGATATTAATTGGTACCTGAGAACGAATATCGCTAGGTGATTTTTTTTAGCATTAGCCGAGGCAAAATGTTAGCATTAAAATGTATCGTTAGGCGAATTTAACGTTATGCGATGCGTTCGTTAGGCGAGGGTCCACTGTAATTAACACAGAAACATGATATATACTCTAGAATGAATAAAATAGGTCATAATGTGGTGGCAGAGACAGCAGTGGAAGCGTCCACTATTTCCTGTCTAACTTTGACTATAGTATCTTCCCATGCTCTTATTGTAAGAGAAAACTGTTTATTTGTGAGGCTAATTGCAGAAATATCGTATATAAAAACATAAATCATAATGCACTACAGAATGTAAAGAAATATTAAACTGTTTAAAGTGTATAGGTACTTACACTCTTGGATCAGAGATGGTGGGGGAGGTTGAGGCTGCAGTGTATGATGTCAGTGGCCCTGTAAACCTCCAACTATAACATTGTTTTGTTTGATTGCTTAACGTAACTGATACAATTTGTTTAATCACTGAACTTAATTGATACTATTTTTGTTTAATCACTGAACATAACAGATACATCTTCGTTCTTAAGTATCTACATATCGTAGATGTACTAAGCTGGTATTGCCTGGCAAAGTCCATGGAAATCATCGTCTTTTTCTTCTCAGCACTATCCTTTGCACTTATTTTCTTAGGACCCATGGTTAGAAAAAAGAAATTTGGCCAAATGACTGTAAAAAAAAAATGCAAGCAAGCACAAGAGAACTGCTTCTACAGCAATGTAAACATGTGTACTGCTTACTGGATGTTTTGGCATCAGCTGTGCCACCTACTGGCAGCATTCTGAATTATTATTACGTATGTTTTGTTATTATTATTATTATTAATTTAGTGAACTGAAGCTCTATCATTATAATAATAATATTATTATTATCATTATTAATTTAGGTAACTGGAATACAGATCCAATTCCCTAGATCAAGAGCCCGTCACCAGCGTCAAGGTTCCTTGACGCTGGTGAGGGGCTCTTGATCTAGGGAATTGGATCTGTGCTCTAGTTACTTGAATTAATAATAATAATAATAATTATTATTATTATAATAATAATAGCGAACACCGGCAACTCAGTGCACAGTTTACCTCGCCATGGGAGCAGTTCTCTCATGCTTTGCTTACATTTTTGACAGTTATTTACCCAAGTTTCATTTTTCTAAGCATGGGTCCTAAGAAAGTAAGTGTAAAGGACAATGCTGAGATTAAAACATGAAATCATAGATAAACAAGCGAGGTGTCCAGTTTTGCATTGATGGGGAAGCAGGGGGAGTTGGCTCGTATCTCAAAAAACTCATATGTTGGGACACTTGTAAATCAAGGTTCCACTGTATTATAGAAATAGAGATGATTTTGATTGGTTTCACGATGAAAAGGACCTTGAAATTGAGCTCGAAGTAGCAGAAATGTTCGATTTTTGCTTATGTTCAAGAGTGAACAAATGACATCACCATCCAATACCTGTCCAACTGGCCAGTCTAATATGCAGTCACGAATGGGTTGACATTATTTATACAATTATTACAATAATGCGGTAGTTTGCATAACAGTAAATCTTCTATTTTTTGTGTGAATATAAATTCAAAATAGAAAGCAAGAGTAATATAAGAGGGACCTGGAGGCATGACTAATGTACAGAGAAAATGTTATTTTAGTGCCAGGAATGTCTGCATTGTTTATTTTGGACCCTATTTTGAAATTGGCATCTTTTTTAATTTGCATGAAATTGGTCAAATTGCCAATTTCTGACCAATTTATTGGGTAGTTGAGATTGGTAAATGGGCAGTTTCTTGTACTCAATTGATAGAACAAATGGGGTTCTAAAGAAATAGCTATGAATTTGGTTGACTGGAACATTGGAATTGGCTGAAAATTGGGTTCAAAGTGGGCGAAATCGCCTATGTGTATACATCGCCGAGATTACTTACTTAGCGAGAGTGTAGTTCCATAAGTTTTCCATCAAATTTCGTACTTTTGGTGTCATTACCATTGGGAAAAGATTGTCTATCATTTCATAAGAAAAAATAATTTTTTTTCTGTTCGAATATTTTGTGACACAGACAGAGACTTCAGGATTTGGGTTCACGAAAGTCAAAGGGTTAAACTAAAAATACTGTTTTTTTCTCTCTCATTATGCACTGCATGCTCAGATTTTTTTTTTTTATTTATTTATTTATTTATTTATTTATTTATTTTAGTAATTATACTGCACACACTGACCACTCAGACCCATTCTCTCATATGTAGGCCTACAGCTATCACCCACAAGACTGGAAGCCACTAAAATTTTGATGTTGTATTATGGGACCAACATTGGCTTGCAAGCCATATTACAGGACCAACAGTGAAAGGGTTAAAGAATTTATTACATTTTTGTAAAGTTGTTATTAAAAGCAGTCCAGTAATGTTAATCGTATTTTCAGGTGTATCCAAGTGGATGTAATGAGTGTAAGAGAAACTAGTGTACAGAATGAGACCACCACTTCAGCCCATAATGTGACAGAAATTTCTCAGGCTGTTGCTGGGGTGAGTAGTATTTAGTTGTACTCTGGCCTACTATAATGATGTAAACTTTGTGGTTTTTTCCAGGAATTTTTTTTTGGTGTGGAGACCAACGATGCAGGCCTAACATACCAGATTGTGACCATTTTGTGGGCACTGGAATTTAAACATTAACCTATGTATAGCAGCTTAAGGGTTAAAGCAGTTTTTATTAGGTTAGTGAGAATCTGGTTAAAGCTTCCAGTAGAGAGGGAAATTATTTTTCAGTAAAAGTAGACCTTGAACAAGGATGCATGGTGTCACTATGGTTGTTTAACATATTTATAAATGGAGTTGTAAAAGAAGTGAATACTAAGATGTTGGGGAGGAAGTGTGGAATTAAAATTTAAGGAATCTAATACAAAGCGAGAGTTATCAGTGATTTTTGCTGATGACAAAGAAAAAAAAAAGTTGTGAAGATTAGTGGACAAATATATAAGGGTATGTAAAAGAAGGAAATTAAAAGTGAGTATAGGAAAGAGCAAGGTGATGAGAGTAACATAACATTAAGATATTAAAAGATTGGATATCAGATTGGAGAGATGGAGTATGGAGGAAGTGAATGTGTTCAGATATTTGAGAGTAGACTTGTCAGTGGATAGGTTTATGAGTGATGAGGTGACCATCAAATTGATGAGGGGAAAAAAGTAAGTGGTGTGTCGAGACATCTGTGAAGACAAAGAATGTTATCCATGTAGGCAAAAGAGGGGAATATATCATGGTATAGTGGTATCACTACTCCTGTTTGTGTGAAGCATGGGTTGTGAATGTTGCAGTGAGGAGAAGCTGGAGGTAGTGGAGATGTAATGTCTGAGGGCAATATGTGATGTGAATTTTATATAGAAAATTTATAGTTTGAAGATTAGGACATGCAGGGTTACTAAAAGGATTATCTAGAGAGCTGAGGAGGGGGGTCATTGAGGTGGTTTGGACATTTAGAGAGGGTAAAGGAAAGCAGGATGATTTGGAGGGTGTATACACCTATAGTGAAGGGAAGGGGTCATCCTAGGAAAGTTTGGATTGAGGGAAAGGGGCCATCCTAAGAAAGTTTGGAGGGGGGGGTAAAGGAGGTCTTGTATGCAAGGGGCTTGCACATCCAACATGCGAGGATGTAGAGTGTGAGCAAGGTAACGTTCATGTAAGATTAAAGGAAACCAGTTAGCCAGCCTTGAATCCTGGAGGTGGGAAGTACAGTGCCTGTACTCTGAAACAGGTAAGGATATTGCAGTTTGGAAGGGCATCTGAACTGTAATGTTGGCAAACCTCTGGCAAGATAGTGGAGTGAGTAATGGTTTAAGTCTTTCTTCTTTTTTGGGTCATCCTCCCTCTCTGGGGGATGGCCATTGTGTTAAAAAAAAATTAGTACTGTACTTACGAGCCACTCACTACTGCATTTATTGTAAATGGTTTTCTGGTGTTTATTGCTATTAATAATCACTCCAAAATTTATTTATTTTTCCCTTCCCTATACATTTTTTCTGCTCTTTATATCCTTGTGTTCTGTAAATATTAAAGTTTCCCCGTATTCTGTATTCCCCCATCCCCCTCCTTCACCTCCCCTTTTCTTTTTCCTTTCTCTCTTCCACCTGAAAGTAACCTTAAAAATTATAAATAAGGAGGAAATGTCTTTTTGTATAAATTTTTTGGAAACAGAATGTAGAGTTCTGTACTGTACTTGTTAATTTATTGGTTTGCATGCCAATTTTGTAAATTTAGTTTTATATTAATTATGAATTTCTTTCAGGGTATTGCCCCCAGCAACAGCAGCAGCAACAGCAGCAGTAGCAGCAACAGTGGAGGAGGAGGAGGTATAGAGTGCCAGTTAGTGCAACAGCTAATGAGTCCTGTGAAGACTGGCAGCATGGGGTGTAGTGACGGAGAGCTAGTGAGGCTCACTGATGCCCACACACTTCACTCCTACACACCACACACCTCTCCTGTGCCTTCTGTGCATGGAACTCCTGTACTTGCTGAAGCCACTCCTAACACCTCTCCCTCATCCTCTCCCAGGAGACCACCACCTGTTTCGTTGCAGCCTCCTGCCAAACGTATTAAGGTTGAAGAGAAGCCCTCAGATCTACTTGAATTAAGGAGAGTAATTACTGACTGGAAGAAAGCCAAATTGGAAAGTGTAAAGGAAAAATACAATGATCATTTGGTTGAACTTTTCTTTTTAGAAAGAGATGGTAATATGATGGACTATCAGTCTTGGAGTAGACGTCCTACTCGAGAATTCCTTCAGTTTGTTCGCCAACACAAACTTGAAGGGGATGAATCGTTAGAGACCAAGTTCACTGTTCCCAACCCTTTACACTTAACCTCAGGTGTTCAAATAAAAACTGAAAATCCCTCAGGATCTCAGTCACCTTTGAAAGGTGCCTTGGGTGCTAATATCAGGACCTCCTCATCTCCTGTTAAACCTGGGAAAGGCTTGGCAAGCCCAGCAATAGGAGGGCGCCAGAAAATGCCCTCTGCAAGTGAGAATATTCAGGTAACAACACAGCAGGACCAAATGTTGGAAAAGGCTAGGCAGGAAGCCTATGTCATGCAACGAATTGCTTCACTAAGAAAGGAGGGATTGTGGGCGGAAAAAAGGTTACCAAAAGTGCAAGAGCCCCCTAGAACAAAGGCTCACTGGGACTACTTGTTAGAGGAGATGGTGTGGCTTAGTGCAGATTTTGCTCAAGAACGAAAATGGAAGAAAGCAGCTGCTAAGAAATGTGCGCGTATGGTTCAGAAATATTTTCAGGACAAAGCTTTACAAGCACAAAAGGCAGAAAAAGAACAAGAAATGAGAACTAGGAAAATAGCTGCATTTGTTGCTAAAGAAATTAGAACATTTTGGGGCAATGTAGAAAAGTTAGTCGAATACAAAGTAACAACAAAGCTAGATGAGAAAAAGAAGAAAGCTCTTGACCAACAGTTAAGTTTCATTGTGGATCAGACAGAAAAGTACTCATCTTGGTTAGCTGAAAGTATGAACAAACCAGTAGATTCTGCTGCAGCATCAACACGTTCCAATACTCCTTCACGTGACAGCCGCATGTCGGATGGTAAGTAATTCAAACCATAAGTTTTGCAGTGTTTTTTTTTTCCAACTTTTGTCATGCAAATAATTAGGTATTGTGTTGCAAGATACTGTTTCCTGTTAACATGTTTGTATAGGTGTAGGGTATGTATGTTCAATCTGTAGTTTCTTCTAGACAGTTCCGGGTCACTTTCCTCTGCAGCCCAGTCCCGGACTAGGCTGCATTTAGTCCAGCATAAACCACACACTGGCTGATCAGGATCTGACTTTGAGGAGCTTAACAAGCTCCATCTTATATTGTTGGTAGAATTACCGACAGTACATTAGGTAAAAGGACACAAGTGCAACTAGTGTGACATTTTATTGTGTCAATGTTTTGCTCTTCAGGAACTTTGTCAAGCCATTACAAAGCTCCTGGAGATCAAAACGTTGACACAATAAAATGTTGCATTAGTTGCACTTGTGTCCTTTTACCTAATAAGTTACATCTTGAAGTTAGCTTGCAATCTGTTGGGAGGGTGTTGGAAGCCATTGCCTCTTTACACTTGAGCTATTTCTTAAGTGTGCTCAGTGCACCCATTGCTTTTCATTAGGGTTATATTACACTGTCTGCCCAGTCTAATGTTTTTGTATGGAGTGATTTCATTATTGCATTTTTGACCAATCCCTTTAGAATTTTCTAGGTGTAACTTTTGATGCATCTTTTTAGTCTGTTTCATTGACTACAACTCAGGGACTAAGACATTCTCCAAAATTTGGGTTTTGGACTTAATATATTGAAAATAAACAAAAAGTGAAGGTTTCCTGTACATTCTCCAGGTTTTTTATTTTTGCCTACTTTTGGTAGGCTCTTAGTGTGCAGCAATATTGCAATCTTGGCAACGTTTTGTTTTTGAGATCCTTGTTACCCAGCCTATAATTTTTGGATGCTTTGATTTGTAGGAGTGATAGGAAATTTAAGTTATAAATTTCCAGAATGACTATGTATACCATTTCTCAAACCATGAGAGAACTGTTATAAAAGAAAGATTTTTTTTCTGAGGGCAAAGAGGGTATGTAATCCTTAGTGTCGCAATGAGGAATTTAAAGACTGCCTAAGGACTTTATTCAGGGAGCCTTGACCTTGGCTAAAATACGTTTTACACAACTGAGGCTAGCACCTTCTTTGCAAAATATATCATTAATGCTGTACAACGAAAATCTCAAATGCATTTTTTATGGCTTTTGAGTAATGACGGGATGATGCCAAAAGTTTTGCTGATTTCATTATGAAATTTTTGACCACTGCCAGTACCATCAACATTAGCCAATACCCACTGATGCCACCAAAATTAGTCAATACCCATTTTTACTGATGCTCATGTTTAGGTCAGTGCCTTCCGATGCCATCAGAATTAGCTGATACCCAAAGATATTGATACCTCTACCTATAATTTGGCATACCCATACTTAAATACAGTGGAACCTCGGCTGACGAACGCCCCACCATGCAAATTTTTCAGGATACAAACCATCGTTCATTCGATTTTTTGCTTCTGGATACGAATGAAATTTCAGGATGCGAACTCACCCCTCGAAGGAGGTTCCTTAAATAAATAAATAAATAAATAAAATATTTATTTCCTTGCAAAGGTTATAATATGTGCTTACATATCATAATATGATTGGAGCAAAGAAAGCCACTATCATGCCGAGGCATTTTGGGCAGACTTAACCTAATGCAGGTACCATCCGACTTATGACTGAGCTTGGTACCAAACAACCGGTCGTAAGTCAAAATGGACGCAAGTCAAACATTACTACTGAATATCAACATCACACTTATTGTAATGATTTTATTTTATTGTTTCATTTTAGTATCGCCTTTTTTACCTTACCTTTTATGCTGTTATTACTGTATTTTATACTGTAAGGTTTAGGAGAAACACTGTGTACAACACAAACATTTGTTTATTTCTGAGAACATTTGCATACAAAACAATGTGTTTGAATTCACTTAAAATGTAAGAAACTGAATGAACAGGGAAGTACAAAATATTGAAATACAGTGTGCAGTAGGGCCCAACTTATACGGCAGGTTAGGTTCCAGGTTACTGCCGTAAAGCGGAAATCACCATAAAGTGGAACACCCTTTTTTTTTTTGTTATAAATGCATACAAATAATAGATAGCAAGTTTACACTAACATATTAAATTAGCAATAGAACTAGGCATCAGAAAACAATAAAAAAGTACAATACACACATAGTGCACTCATTACTTACCTTAAAATATTTATAGTCTTAATCTAGGGTGAGACAAGTAGTATTTATTGTAAGAAATCAAGTGTGGTATGTATGGTAGTCAGCTGGGCTACCATACCAGGCCATTCCACCCACACATATTATTCTATGATATTTAAGCATCCCAGAGTGCATATACAGTTCACACATTACTTACCTTAACCCTTTCAGGGTCCGTCCCGTAGATCTACGGCTTTGCATTCAGGGTCCAAACCGTAGATCTACGTCATGAGCTCAGCTCACTCTGATAAACTGTGAGTGGTACACTTGGGCCTAGATATGAGAGAATACATCTATGTGGTATGTGTGCACCACATAAAACAAATCCTGTAGCACACTGTGTATAATGAGAGAAAAAAACTAAAACCAAGATTTTCGATTAAAACAGCAACTTTGCAGTGTTTTTTCGTATGTTTTTTATAGTTGTATTTGCAATTTCTTGGTCTCATTTGATAGAATGGAAGACATATTACAGAAATAGAGATGATTTTGATTGGTTTTAGCACTGGAAATGGCTTGAAACTGAGCTCAAAGTAGCAGAAATGTTAAATTTTTGCCGATGTTCAAGAGTAAACAAACGACCTCACACGTCTAATACACGCCAGCTGGTGGGTCTAATATACATTCACAAATGTGGTGATGATATTTATACAATTATTACAATATTGCATAACTATCATGTGGGAGTTCGATACGTGGATTAGGGTAGAAATACTCACGTAGGCTGTTATTACTTATAATTGCTGTTATGTGGAGGGAGCCCGCAGCCGTTACCTATCTCCTTGGTTACACTCGTAAAACTGACTAGCCGGCTGGCCAGTACCCCGTAGTGGGTCTTTTGAAATAGTGTCAGCTCAGCACAGACCGTGACTCAAGACGGTTGGTCGTTGAGTCAACGGAGTCAACGGACAGGTTACTGGTAACTGGTTACTGGTAACTGGTTACTACTACTGAGAGCTCGGCGACGCTAACGTATGTCGTCCCGACATACAACTAATACAAACTAGAGATGGCAGGTATATGGCTTGGGCTGATTCTATACAATGTCAAAGTACACAACATGAAACATTATAGATACATAAGTAGAACATTGGAATGAAAGCTTACGTAACTGAAACTGTAATGTAATACAAGGTATACTATAGTACAACTTAAAACTCAACAAATGAACAACGAACTCAACATTGAGATTACAAGTGATAAAAACAAAAATTTTGATCGATCGATCTGTATTCATGTGATCTACGGATTCTGAGGAAGGAATATATACAAGAAAGAGTGTTTAACAGAAAGGCAGATTCGGTGCACGCAAATCTAACTGTTAACTCTCAGAATGCGGAGAGAACATGAACACAAAAAAAAATTCTTGAATACTGATAAGTTGATACTATAATTATTCATCTATACAGGTTATTTACATTTAACCCCAACTCTGCTAGGGTAAGATTGGCATATGCAGAATGGGTGTCATCTCTGGGAGGATCAAACTCTGTAGCATTGGCTAGCTCATGCTGTATTTGAGGCAAATCTGAATTGGAAGTTACAAATGATACTTAAGGATTTCTCAATACCTGTCGTGTACGTAGGGAATAACGACATTCAGGTTGATCATCTGACTGAGTATCAGAGGAAGAGAGTACAGGATCAGGAGGATTGTCAGAGTCTGTCTGGTTACTACTACTGAGATAACAGTAAATCTTCTATTTTTTGGTGTGAATAAAAATTCATTATGTGAATAAAAAATCAAAATGGGATTTATTTGTAAAGCCTCAAAATGTAACTAATGAACCGAGGAAATGTTAGTTTAGTTCCAGGAATACCTACATTGTTTATTCTGGACGCTATTTTGAAATTGGAATATTTTGAACTTTGTGTTAAATTGGCCAAATTTCCAATTTCCGATCACTTTATTTTGTAGTTGAAACAGTTGACTTGGCGATTTCTTGTACTCAATCGATAGAATAGAAGTAATACTAGTAAAATAGCTAAGAATTTGGTCGACTGGAATAATGTAATTGGCCTAAAATGGAAGTCAAAGTCGGCAAAATCGCCGATTCGTAAATATCGCTGACACATCAAAATTCGCGAGAGCATAATTTCGTCAATTTTCCATCAAATTTCGTACTTTTTGTTTTAATACCTTCACAAAAAGATTCTCTACCATTTCATAATAAAAAATAAAAAATATTTTTTTTGAAAATTCTTGGACACGGGCACCACTTCAGATTTTGGCCTTGGACCCTGAAGGGGTTAAAATATTTGTAGTTTTAATGTAGGGTCAGGGGTGAGTAAACGAGATAAAATGAATAAATGAGAGAGAATGAGTACATGAGGGAGGACAGGCGCAGAGTTATGTAAACAAACCAGGCGAACGTGAGTTATGTAACTTGACTCAAGAAATCGTAATGACACGATTGCAAACAAACTATACCACGGGCGGGATTGAACCCGCGGTCAGAGAGTCTCAAAACTCCAGACCGTCGCGTTAGCCACTGGACCAGCTAGCCACAATAATATTCGTCCAACTAGGTACATTTCTACACCATAGGAAGGTTAGCATAGGCACCACTGTGACCACAGATGCAAGTTTTTACAGACGAATCTCCAGCTAGCGTGGCCGTGACGAACTCTAGCTCAAGTCCCCTCAATGCCGTCAACATGACTCAAGAAATCGTAATGACACGATTGCAAACGTGTCATGTTGACAGCATTGAGGGGACTTGAGCTAGAGTTCGTCACGGCCA